AAAAAAAAAAAAAAAAAAAAAAAAAAAAAAAAAAAAAAAAAAAAAAAAAAAAAAAAAAAAAAAAAAAAGATGAACCTGAACCTTTCTTTTTCTTTGTGTATTTTTCGAAAGAAATAAAGTTGATCAAGCCGGAAATGAACGTGGACGTTTGTGAAAGTGAAGTGAAACGTGGAAAGCGAACAAAAACAAAGAATTGAAAAAAAAATAAAAAACCAAAAGAATTATTCACTGAATGTGTTGGGTTTTTTATGCTCCTCCTCTAAGGGTGCAGTTACACTCCGAGATTTTTTTCCAGTAGAATTTGGCCGATTTCTTGGCTGGATGCATCCTGGAAAATCTTTGTCACATGTAGCACTTCCAAAGCCAGCCACTTTGTATTTTTTACACATTTTGTCAGCAAGCGAAAGCGATGGGCAACCCAGGTAAAAAAAAAAAAAAAAAAGCGAGAGCAACTTGAGAAAACATGTAAATTTAAAAAATAAAAAAATGTAAAGGAAAAAAAAAACAATGATAAAAGGATTTAAAAAAAAAGAATAATTATTCAATAATGATTCATGGAAAAAAAAAAAATAAAGCTGAGAAACGAAAGGAGAGGAAAAGTGTGATAACTGATTAGAAGGGGGGGCAACGACGGAATAAAGAGGGGGAAAAACAAGGGAGCCAGGGAATAAAGAAAAGAAAGGCAAGGAAAGAGAAGGAGGAGAAGGGGGAGGGGGGAGGAAGGGGGGAAAATAAAAAAAAGGAAAAAAAAAAATAATAAAAAAAAATAAAAAAAGGAGAAAAATCAAGGAAAGGGAAAAAAATACATAAAAACGAAAAAGGAGACCAAGAAATAAAAAACAGAAAGACAATGAAAGATGGGGGAGGCGGGGAGGGAAAAAGAAAAAAAAAAGAACAGGGAAGAAAATAAGGAAAAAAAAAGGAAAGGGGAAAAAAACGGTGAAAAAAAAAAAGTAGAAAAGAAAAAAAAAACAAGGAAAGAGAAAAACGAAAATAGGGAAGAAAATGACATAAAAAAACAAGGAAATGAAGAAGAAAAAAGAGAAGGGAAAAAAGGTAGAAGGAATAAGCAAGGAAAGGGGGGCGGGAAAGAAAAACAAGGAAGAAAAGGAGAAAAAACTTCAAAAAAACAAGCAAAGAGAAGAAGAAAAAATAGGGAAGAAAAGGAAAAAAAAAACAAGGAAAAGAAAAAAAAAAGGGAAGGGAAAAAATTAGAAAGAGGGAAGAAAGGCAGGTTACCGCCTGTCCGATCAGGAGACGGCTCCGTCGTCTACGTCAGACGTCCGGTAGGGGAGGTGTCCAGGATCTCGTACAACTCCCCCTGTTCAAAATCTCTAGCGTACAAGGCCGCCCACGTATATGTAGGTTGAGAGTAGAGGCTGGCCCCACCCCCGTGTGTCCTATCGACCCACTTGCACACAACCAAAAGGCAAAGAGGCAAAGAAAAAGGAAGGGAATAGCCACATATAACAAAATAGGAGGAAACAAACACAAGCAGATCCTAGATGACAAGTCCTACATGCAAGCACCGCCCCGTCCATCACAGACCAAACGATGGGACAAGACGAGACAGGATATCAAAACATCATTGTCTGTAAACAAGCAATCCTAGATAACAAACCATTCGTACTCGTCCGCGACTCTGCATCAACTCCAAGACTTCTTTGCGATTGTTATTTGTTGCAAAAACTAGTATCGCTTCCATCTTTCTGATACTTCGCTTGTCTAAACGAAAATACTAGGACACCACCAACAATTAAAAAAAATATATATAAAAAACAATCCCAAATGACGATTCCCACTGAAAAGCACCGCCCCACAAGCTGAACAACGGGAAACAACCAACTAGGATGCCAAAAGGATTAAAAAAAACGAGTGACAGGTCCCACATGAAATCACTGCCACGGGCACCCTACCGTAAGCCGAACAACGGGACAAAACCAACCCGGATGCAGACAAAGGTGTAAAAAATACCGAAACAAATTCTTCCATAACCATAGTAAACATATGGAACCATATAGTACGTGCGCAAAACGAAATACCCCAACAATGGGGAAAAGCAAAGCAAAATAAGAGATAGGTAGAAAGAAAAATTAGAAAGAGTATATTATACCATATATATCGTCACAAGGATATGAGATCGTAAACGAAGAAAAATATAAATATAAATATATTTATATTTCTATCTATCTCTAAGTGTGCGTGTGCGTACGTGTGAACTGAGATACTGACAGGTGAAAGGCATTGAGCCGCTACGGGTTTCAGAGTGGAAGCCGAGGAATTGTCATCGGAAGTCTCAGGTTATAGCACTGAGGTAACTCCTCTGCCCTACACCTCTGCCGTTGTAGACCTCCAGTCTCGCTAGTCTTCTCTTCACGAACGCTACTACACCGTTCCTATTTATTTCGTCCGCACTGACTCCCCCAAAGCCTCTGCCTAACAATGGTTATTAGTTGTCTTCCTCACTTCCCCCGCCTTCCTTCCTCCTGCCATTGCTCGATATTCTTCATCATCATTCATATTCTCTATTCGTTTTTCTTACAAATAAAACAAGAGGGAAAATATATAGCTTTCCTTACTAATTTCTTATCATAGAGTTGATCATACCCTGTCTAACAATCGCCCCCACCTCTCCCCCCACTCTCCCCCCCAACTAGTGGCCTGTTTCTAAGTGTGTGTGTGTGACCTGCAAGGGCACTTGGTTTATCGGATGACCCGAAGACCGATACTTACCTATGGCCACGACATCGAGGGTTGCGCAGGGGAAAACACTCAAGTACCGGGTAGGCCAGTACCACACCATGTAGAGGTGGATGTGCCGGGTACTCGAGGATGAGTAGAAGAAGACAAAAGTTGACATTTTTAGAGGCCCGGTACCAGTAGATAGGTGGATACTAAGTTAAGTAGCCCGAGTCTAGGTCTAGTACAGACGGTATCATAGACAATAATGATATTTACATCCGAAAGGGATGGAGACACTGACCGTTTTGGGCGACCACGTGGTCAGGAAGTTGCCGCCCAAAACACCATTTCCTTTCTACACATGAGAGGCTAAGCGGTAGCCCCAGCCTTACTTACGACATTCGAGTAAGGACAAATGTATCGACTGCCGTTCCCAATTACGGTCGGCAGTGTGTTTCTCTTGGTTGCCCCGGCCGCATGGCCAGGGTTATATTAATTTTCCAGTCGTCTTTAGATTTTACGACGGCGTGTCCTGCCGACTTTCCCATACCTGCCGGTCCGACGCTCCTGGACTCATTCATTTTTGCCTTACCGCCTAAGCCTTTGACTGATTTAGATCGTGGTCGCTGCATCCCGTGCGACCTTTTCTTGTTTTCTTCCAATCCTCCGGCCGTTGCGGCCGAAGACTTAACTTTTACTAACCTTTACCTGTATTCGTACACGGCGTATTACGGCATATAATCACCTAGCGACCTCGTCCTCAATGGTCGAGAAATTAGCTTCATGGCGTCATGCGGAAAATTCTTACTTCTCACTTCAGGCTGTTTCCGATATGCATCGAATGCAAAATCATGAGCAAATACCCTTGTAAGGGTGTTTGCTCCAACACCGCCGGTGACGAATGGTGGTCGCCGCCCCTCCGTACAACCCGGCCCTAGCTCACCGGGCCGAGGGGTTTCGGCTGGCGGGGGGACCGGATCCTCAATTCCGGACCGTAGATTCCGAAGATCACCGTTCAGAAATGAAGAATTCGCGTAAGCGGGACCTGGCCCCGGTTGGCATCCGGCTCTGGACCGGCACCAACCGCACCAACGAAGTGGCCGGCCGAAAGCTGCAGGCGGGGATGTTCTCGGGGGCTAGGTCCCACTTACACGAATTAAGCGATATTGACCGTAGATTGCAAAGATCAACGGCCAGAATCTCTTAATCCGTGCAAGTGAGACCTTGCCCCGGGTTTGCTGAGCGCGCATCAAAATTTTATAACACAAAAATTTGCTGTGGCGGGGAAGGTTTCGGGTTTGGTGAGCGCTCATCAAAATTTTCTAACACAAAAATTTGGTGTGTGGCGGCGACCGCCAGCTCACCCAAAACCGAGTTCCGTGGGTGATGCGGCGAGGCCCTCACTCGGGAAGGTCCCCGCTCATCGTCACACACAGCTGGAGGTCCTCCTCCATGTCTGTAGACAGGAATGGCGCATTGAGCCTTCTTCTCTTACTTTTACTGCAACGATGAGGCCTGAAGGTTGCCGCTGATCAGGCAACTAGCACCGGTGTAAGTGACGGCGAAACCGAGTCCAACCCTCTCTCTCTCTCTCCCTCCACCTCTCTCTCTCTCTCTCTCACACACTCTGTAAATTGATCGCTTTCTCCTCTCACGCTTGTTCTCCTTCCGCGTTACGCCTCAACATCGAAAGCGTAATGATATGATGCAAAGAAACCGCGCCAGTGTGAAAGACCCTTCACCCAACCTTACCATACCCCCTGCCGTTCTACGTCTCCTCATACTCCATTAGTTTGTCTCTCTCTCTCTCTCTCTCTCTCTCTCTCTCTGTCTCTCTCTCTCTCTCTCTCTGCGCTCAGTGTGTCTGTCCTCTCTCTCTCTCTCTCTCTCTCTCTCTCTCTCTCTCTCCCTCTGTCGTTCCCACTTCGTCCTGTCGACTTCCTTTCCGCGTCTCTCTCCGGCGCTTCGCCCTCCCCCTCCAGACCTCTTCCCCTCCTGCCCCCTCTCCTTCTCCCCTTTCTTTCCCTCTCTGCTTTTTCCTTTTTTTCTCCCTCTCGGTCGCATTCCCTCTCTTTGAAACGATACAGAGAAGATAACCATATCCCCTGCGCATTCAAGCATGGCACGCGTAGATAGAGGAAAGCCCCCAATTGAAAAAACGAAAAACATACGGACGGCTCTTTTCTTTAAGTCTCTTTCTAGTGAAATTTCGCCATAATTGCGGTCTGATACATCAGCTTGGGCGGTAGTAATGGCCAATACCTCAGGCGCTGGTCGGAATTGTGATCAGATACATCAGTCGCTGGTCGTAATTGCGATCAGATCAGATACATCAGTCGGGTCATCATAACGGCTGAAAGCTGAAGAACAGTTCTTGAGAAACAAGACGTCTCGCCGGCCCTTTTTTTTGAACCTTTTTGTTTCACAAGCAAGCCTGGAGCAAGCCTGGAGCGACGACGGCTTGAGTTGTGGCCTTGAGTGGTGTCTGTCGCGTCAGCCGGCTATCACACACGCACTTACTCACTCACTCCCACTCACACGCACATACACTCCCTGACTCACTGACTCGCTCGCTCACTCACTCACTCACTCACGCGCTCACGCACTCACTCGCACTCACTCGCAAGGGAGTACAAAGGGGGGGGAGGGGGGAGAGAGAGAGAGAGAGAGAGAGAGAGAGAGAGAGAGAGAGAGAGAGAGAGAGAGAGA